AAAAATATTAACAATAATTTCTTTATAATACAAAATCAATTAATATTAAATAAAAACATGTGTTTGATTCCAATAAGTTTGTGTCATATTGTATTGTTGTAACTCCTATAAGTTAAATATAAATAAATAAACATAATTACCGAAAACATTTCACAAAAYTAGAAGCATTGTCGGTTGTCGTATATGAAATTTTCTCACTTATTTTATAATTGTCATATACCGTTATCATTTCTTGTGCTAATACATCATAACTATGATGTCCTTTAATTTAATCCGTTTTATGGCCAGTAAACACGATACTCTAGTTAAACTACTTGGATCAATCCAACTTCCCGTAATACCAATATAAGATCTAAAAAAATATTAAAAACATTAATAATTGTTCACTTTAAAAAAATATATGAATTTAGYTATATAATTAACTTATAAAATATCAACTTACTTTTTAAATATCGACCAACAGTCAACAGTTGTTGTAATATGTTGTATTGAATCCATTTCYTTTTTTAAATTGTCAACCAGTACTTCAGAYATTTGATTAATTTTTTTCATCAAAGTCGGCCGACTTAAAAGGTTTTTGTTTGKAAAACCACAATTAATAARTTCTTTGAAATCTTCATTTTCAACAATAGAAAATGGAATAGTTGCACTCATAATAAATTTTATGATCATATTGTTTAAATAATCTGTAACACATTAGAACATTACACACACAGACTATTACAATATTGGAATAACTTAATAAATTGTGTWTCGGAAAGTAATAACTAATGAGATAGGCCAGGGCCTCAGGGGTAGGTCTTTACTATAAATTAATTTATTTATCATAATCAAAATTGAGTTTTTTAAATCAATGATTAATGAATATTAAAGTTCCAATTTTAAATCTAAAAGCAATAACAATGTCATAGTTCAATATACTATATTATATCGATTATTGATTGATTTTAAAATATAGGTACTTACTGTCATCGTGAAAAATAGTTACCTTGGGAGATGGTTCTTTTAGTAAAATCAAGCTTTGGCTGAAAAGTCAATGAATTKTTTTTTGGAACTTCGTTACCCTCATCTACATGGTCAGTTTCTTTTCTCTTTACACCAACATCTCGATTCATGTTTTTAAAAATACTGCCATGTTTTTTCTACAAAATGACACATATTCAATTTACACTTTATTAATTAAAAACAGRATTAAAATACAATGCCTACAAAATAACTCTGAAGTA